CTGGATTGCAGTGAAAAGAAGATAAAATAAAGTGCCAAGGTCTGATCCTGATCTCAAACGCTGGGATAAATCCACCGTTCTCAGAGGAGTCAAGGTATGTTCTTGATTTGATGAGATCAGAATCGAGCCCTGCAAAAGTACTTACACTGACAGAAGGTGCAGACGGGTGTCCACCCCAATATGAAACTTCTGTGTTATACTATTTTTACTATTTCCCCCCCTGCTTTTTTAAAAAAAATCGCAGCCAATTTACTCGTAATGGTAAAGACAGACACTAGCTAAGATAAGGCTCAAACACACTGGACAGCAGACTGGGGATAACCTTGTTTTAGTAAGAATTCAGGAGGAAAGAGGAGACTGTGCCACAGCACTTAGCCCCGTAGCTGAGCCTGCACAGTACTCAAACAGGGTTTTTATAACAACAGCAGCTCTGTAAATGCATGCTGGCAGGTCTCCTTTCCACTTTAAATATGCAGTTGCTCCACTTAGGCTCATCCCAATACACCCTGATGTTTAAGACAACTTTCTTCCCTTTCCTACTCAAAACCTACCTACATCAAAGATGAAATCTGGATGCTCCCAGAGCTGTGATGAGGTTGTTTTTACAGCTATTTGAGCAGCGTGTTATACCTGCTTATTTGAAGATGATGATATTTGTATTGTTGCTAAGAATTCATGCCAAGCATAATTTTGGGGCGTTGTGAAGATATCATATTTGCATATTTTAAGTATTGATATAATACAAAGTTCTTTTTATGTGTCTTTTCGTAGCATAATAATGCTCTTTCCACTGCATGACAGCCTTTAGCATAGAAAAATTCAAAACCTGAAGAAAATTATTTTTTAGAAAATTGATTTACTTTTTTTTAAATCTAATTTTCATTTTCCCATGTTTGGAGCATCCTTTACCGCTCATGACCTGCTGCATATCATCCAGATAAAAACAGTAATTGCACAGAGATATAGGCACTTCACACGGTAATGCCTTAATCAAACAAATGACTGCATTCTGAAGAAGTTTGATATTTTATTTTTTCCTGGAGCTCACTCTATTTCTAGCCTTGCAGGCTTTATGCCAGTTGCTGATGTAGAAGACGGCCCGTACGAATCTCTTCCTTCTTTCTCTTCTGTCCCTTTGCCTAATCTCAGCCCTCTCTCTGCCCTTCCCTACTTCTTCATCCTTCGAGCACAGAGAGACTCTATTTCTGCTCCCGCAGGCTCTGTGCCAAGCCCTAGGATAGAAATAGCTGGTACGGAGTCTCCACACCTCTTCTTCCTTCTCTCCTCTGACCGATTCCCATCTTTCATTTCCCTTGTCCTGTGTCCTCATTCTTCTAGCAAACTGCTTTTGTGCCTTAGCCTTTCTGCCCTGCTCCAAAAGCACCCCCCTGGAGCTGCCCCCCCTTCCCCAAACCAGCCCCTGCTTCTTGGCAGTAGCAGCAGGCTGGCTTCAGGGCAGGGGATTGGAAGGGGCCAAGTAGCTCAGGTGGGTTTGAGGATGTGCTAATGAGCAACACATGTTACTGACGAGTGTCCATATTTACAGCGGCTTCGAAGCAAGAAAAATCTGAGAGGAAAGATGGGGGAGGAAGAAAAATCCAGGGACAGATGCTGTCTCTTCTTCTGTAGCCTGCTTCTACAGGGAATTCACTTTCTGTGTCGTGAGGGATATTTATGTTGTGCTTTAATTGCCTGGAAGCCCCATGGTGCTTGGCTGGTGTGAGCTTTCTCCCACCACAGGGTTGTAATGGCTGGTGCTAGCAGGGACCCGCTCCCTCCAGGCGGGCTGTAGTCTGGGGAGCTTCTCTTTGTGATGTTTTCTTACTGTGAAAGGGTTTTCCGAACAGTCGGAGTAGGTAACTTGGCAGCGGTGAGCTGGAGACGCCAGCTCATCACCCCCCCACTCGAGGTGCCGCGCAGGAGCGGCCGCCGCACTGAGGGAGATGTGGCAATGAGTGGAACTTGGATGTGCAGGTGGGGAAACGAGAGGGGTTTGGTGGGGCTTGTGAGGCTCCTGTGCAACTGCAGACTGCCGAGCGCGAGGGCTGTGTCCTGGTGCCCATGTTGCCACTCCAGGGATGACCGAGAGAAAATGGCGATCCTGAGCAGGCGTGGGATCAACGTCCTCTGCTTAGCAATGAAATTTCTTAGCTTTGCACTCATGTTTTTATTTTCATAACTGCCTCAGCTTTGCCACAGCGTTTACATACAGCAGTGGGAGACCATTACCCTGGGATAATGCACAATCCCGCTGGCATTATCTGCCTCGCAGCAGAAACACGGGGGATCTCTGCCAGCCCCTCCTGGCTGGGTGGCTGACCCTTGGTTAGGGCAAGCGGCTGCAAAAAAATAAAGCCCTCTTCTATTGCAAAGTTTATCCATCCAGCTGTTTGTGATTTTAATATGAAAAAATACCTCGTTTTTTTTTTTAAAAAAAATATGGCAGTTGAAATTCAGTTTGTTTTGGGTTTTTTTTTTGAGGTTGGATAAACAGTTGGTAAGTGCCATCCCCGCCTTTAAGAACTCACTAAAAAAAACAGCAGGATTTGATTTGTTTGTGCAGCAAAAAGATTGTTCTTTAATCCCTTTGGAGTTGTTGGATTTGATACTCCTGCCAGTCGAACTAATGAAAAATCCTCTGGTAGGATGCGTCAGGAAACCCAGAGACATCCATCCCTTCACCGCATCGCCTCTCCTGAAGATGGTGGCTATCTTGAAAAGGGTGCAGCAAGGGACACATCTCCTGCATCCCTTTGTGAAACGTGGTAGCTGCGTTCCGTCCCAGAAAGCAGCACAGGGATGGACATCTTACTGTATTTGATATAAAATTGGACCCAATTATCAAACAGGAGGTATAGGAGATTCTGGAAAAAAAAACAAACCCAAACAACACTACCTAAAAATCACTTAAGTCATCTTATTTGTTTTCTTTGCAGTTAGATCAGTACAGTGAAGTCCACTATTTAAAAAAGAATTAATTATATTTGTGTTACACTCATAGGTATTCCAAAATAGCAATTAATTATTCAATGAATATGAATGATTAATTCAACACATAAACTGTATGAAATAATAACAGAAATTAAATCAGGCATGTTGCACCTGACTGGGGAGGAGGAAAGATGTTGCCATTAAGGAAGAGGGCAGTTTGAAGCCTCACACCAGTTACAAGGATAAAATTAAACAAAAATAGGCTAATTGAATCTTAAATGGGGCTAAACTGAAGGCCCTTCAGGCTGAGCTCAGTTGCTGAAGCAAAGTTCCCTATTGCAGTTTGAGATGCCCTCCGACACTGGAGACATCCCTGTGGGGCTGGTGGGTGTTATCCCGGGACCAGGTGAGAACAGCTAACTCACGCCTGTCTTCAGGCAACTGAGCCAGGGCCAGCCCTTTTTAGTCACTTGCTGGCATATGTATGTGTATTCTTGAAACCTCATGTTTTCTATTAAAGGAACTATGAATTTTTGTACTGATTTAATATGGAGATCATCCTTAAATAACAGCAGTTTCAGTCTCCTCTGTTAATCAAATATCTAAGCAGCAATTTCGGGGACTTACAGATAGCCATGGGTTCTTGGAAAAAAGTCGAGCGAGCATTTTTTATGTTACTGTTTCAAATATATCCAATTCTAAATGTATTTATTTTATAGTAGAGTACAAATTACACAGATCTTAGAATCTAAATGGGAAACAATACAGAACATCCAACCAGAAATCTCCTCAATGCTTTTTACTCAAAATCTTCAAAATATCTCCTGAAAAGCTCCAAATGCAATGAAACATTTTCTCACAAAAAACATGCATTAAAGTGTTCTGCACTAGAGTCTTTCAGATTCATGTCAATGGTTCACATGTTTACTAGAAATAATAGGAAAAACAGGATTACGTTCCTCTGCCCTTTCCCATTCCCTATGTGTGTGTTTGTACACACATAATTTGATCTCTTTTTTTTTTTTTATTAATTTTTGTTGACTTATCTTTACACGTTACTTGAGAGAAAGAAAGGTACCAAATCAGTTTGGGTGATGAGGACAGGGCTCTTTGGTGTACAGATGAAAAACCAATTCAGGAACCAGACAGTGAAATATTTATCTAAGAATTCTTCAGAGCAGGTAAGTGTTTAATTGTTGATGTAATCCCAGGAAGCAGGCTCTGATGATCATATTATCCTTTAATTATCAAAAGAGTTCAACAGTCAAACAATTATCTTTTAATTTCCTCACCAAGACGCAGGTACCTCACAAGATATTAAAAAAGAAATTTTCTAGAAGAGGGAAATCTAACCAGAGGTTTTACTTGCAGTTTATTGTATAAATATATATATAGTAACCTTAAAATAAACTTCACAGCTAACACTGGGCATATTTCTCTGCAGTTAAGAAGCCAATATTTATTGGTAAAGTAGCTTCTTTTCTAAAATGTGCTGAAGGATGTAGAAGAACAGTTTTAACAGAAAAGGCTGCGGTGTCCACACACAGGTGGCATTTGCTCCGATTTCCATGTCCAGTCGATATTAACACGTCTCAGTACGAATATGGCACTGCAAGTAGAGGAAAAAGATGCACTGAGAAATGGGATGATTTTATTGAATAATGAAGGATAACACATGAAATGTAATACACTCGGAAAATGACAATTGAGGAAATTGAATAGTATGCCTTGTAAACCTTTTTACTGAAGTTAAGAGTGTGTCATTATTAAAACGTGTAAAATTAAAAAAGAATTTTCTTAAATGAATTGATTTTGGAGACGTCTTAGGAAGCATTATTTTGACAATGTTAATTGTTGTCTTTTTCTTTTTTGATAAATGGATTATGCAAAATTAATTCCCTCACTATGTAGATTTAATCCACAACACAGAACCACTGTCAGAATTTTAAAGTATTTTGAGTTTTCTACTGAATAGATACAAAAAAGCCATATTCAATTAATTTAACAGTTTGAAATTTAAAATTATAAATCAGTCACTGTCTTTACAGTTTCCTGCATTTGACTAAATCCTACTGTATGAATGCCCAGAGAAAATCATTATAGGATACTTTTGAAGACAAAGTTTTATCATAGTATTCCAACATGTTGAATAACTCCTCTTCAGGTAGATTGATGCTGTAGTCATGAAGAACCTACAAAAGACAGAGATGACTTTAAAATTAATTCTAGTGCTTTGGATGAGAAAGAAGTAAAACATTAGTTTGTCTTGCTAAAATTTCTTTACAAAATAACTTGATGATTCACCTCTGCTCTGTCTTAGGTTTCTTGGAACATTAGAAAATCAAACTCTCTTTTATTATTAGACCTCTTATTCTTCCCATGCCGATACTGGCCCCCTGGGATGCATATCTGAAAACCTGCATACACAGGGCTTTGGTCCACTAGCCCAATGAGCACTTGCCTGAGGGAGCATTGCGAAATAGGTCGCACCCATGTGCATAGAAGCTAATTTATAGAACGTACCTGTTTAAAATACTTTCACTACTGTCTGGAGATGACATGAAGAGGTGACATTTCTTCCTTTCTGTCTTCCTTGGATGATCTGCAGCCTTTGCCTCTGGAGAAACAGAAGGAATAATCCAGTCACTCAAAGTGTGCAAACCCTTGTGTGTCTGGTAACACCCATGATGCACTCAGTGCTTTTAATTTTCATGGGACAAATACTCAGCCTGAAGCATGCCCTCCTAACACTTCAGTGAGAACCCAACTTGAACAGGATGCATCTGATTCACCTGATACTAAAACCCAGGTTAGATACCTACATCTTTAAGATATTTCACCTGGTGCATTTTTTCGGCATTTCAACAGTTTTAAATGTTCTCAATGCCCTAACATGAAAGAAAAAGATGCATTAATTTCTGAGGATTACATCTGGTTTTAGATGCACTTGGGAATTTAAAACCTGGAAGTGACCAGCAACACAGCGTGTCCTTGTGCGCTATGCCAGTTGTCATCAGTTTTCTGGTAAGCTCAGATTAGTCTACCCCTTTCCCTCTTAACAGCTCAGCATCAGAAATCACTAATGACCCCTGGCAGATAGTACAGCCATAAATAGTAGTGTTATTGAAGTTAGTAGAGAGCTAATTTCCCCATTTTGGTAAATTAAGTTACCTAGGAGATAAAGGGGTCTGTACCTCCACAAATCACTTAATATCTCATCAAACAGCAGATTAACACCTTTGTAGCAGGATTTTGGAATCAAGGTTTGCTTCTTGATCTAGACCCGTGAGGAGTTAGGTTTTTTTTGTTTTGCTTTGTTTTTGTTTTTGTTTCGGTTTTTTGCTTAGCTTGTATCATGGCAAGAAGTTTGATCTGAAAGCTGTTGAAATGGAAATCATCAAATGTCCTGGAGGAACATGACAAATTGTCCTGGTTCTGACTGAGAGAGTTACTTTTACTTTTTAGCAGCTAGAAGAGCTCTGTGTTTTGGTTTTAGTCTGGGATTCGTTATGAGAAGAATGTTGGTAGTGCACTGATCTTTATAGTTGGTACTGAGACCTCAAGGACTTTTCAGCTTCTTATGTTTTGCCAGTGTGCAGGAGCACAACAGGCTAGGGGGGAGCATGGTGGGACAAAGGGTCCACAGCTCCCCTTACAGAGACTTAGACTTAGGATGAAGTGCTAAATTGGCCAGTGAGGTATTCCATATCATGCAACGTCATGCCCAGTATATAGATGAGAGTTGACCGGAAAGAAGGGCTTTTGCTATTCTGGGAACTCTCTTCTGAGGGCTCGGTCTCTTGGACTCCGAGTGCTATCTCTCTCTCATTTTTTGCCCAGGCCTCTCACTTGTCTGAGATTGAAGTGTCAGGACTTATCTGTTTCGGGATCATCTGCTGGAACAGGACAGGCATTGGTTACCAGGTGGTGAGCAATTACACTGTGCATCACTTGTTTGTATCTATTATTATAATTATACATGTATATAATCATATATCATTATCATTATTACTTTAAATCTATGATTATTATTAAAAAATTGTTCTTATCTCAACCCATGGGTCTCCTCCTTTTTTTCCCTTTAATCTTCTTCCCCATTCCTCGAGGATGGGAATGGGTGAGTGAGTGGCTGTGTGACGTTCAGTTGCCAGCTTGGCTAAATCATGACACAAATCAAAATCAAACGCAACGGGCCTGATCTTCACTCCTTCTCCCCTGCACCCAGTCTGCTGAGGCAGCGCCCAAGCATTCAAAAGCTGCAGTGGTAGACAAGGAGTCTCAGACACGAAGTTGATACAGCCACATTGATACATCTTGCTCCTCAGCCTTTGCAGAGGGGCAGGCAGGGACTCAGGTTTCAGCTGCGTGGCAGTGCCAGAACACATCACATTGCCACCAGTCTTAAAAAAGTAAAGATCGAAAAGAGCACTTCTGTGACTGGTATAATCGACCAGGTTTATAATCCACCAGTCAACGAGTCGGCTTCCTGCAGCTCCAGGGAAGGGGAATGTCAGAAGCACACCTTATCGTTGCGTATTGCAGTCAAGAATTTGCGTACTGTAACTGAGCATCCTCTCCACTAGTTGGTCAGTCCTTGAAGCAGTAGTGATACCAAGGGGTGTCCCAATGCACACAGCGTTAAATGGGTTTAGGGCCTCACACGACTTTTTTTTTTTCTTGCAGTTGAATAACAAATATTCAGAATTACTCCAGAACGGATAGTGATTATTATTCCTAGATAAAACAATATAGAAGATTTTGAAGCCAGTACAGCTAAGCAAAAACCAAACTCCTCATGGGTCTAGATGAAGAATCACTGACATCCAGAATACACAGGTGTGTATCTGAGGAGATACAAGGTACTAAAATATTTGCAAAGAATATGCATTCCTTGGCTGGTACAAAACTATGGTGCACTCAGAAGAGCAGAGAGAGAAACCGGAAACAGACTATCAAGTGGGGATTGCTTGAGCCTGTCCCACATTTAGAAGGGACCCCACCAGTTGGAGGGTCACCAGATTCTGCAGCTGCAGCAGTGCCTGAAGGGAGACCTACTAGAAGGTACGCTTCTATTCCCTTTCCATGTGTTTGTGAAAGATACATATTTAAACTTTGTATAGAGACTAAGGTTTTTCTCTGTTTTATCTATAAGACCTCAGGCCTCAGGGAAGTGTAATCACACGTGGAGAAAGATTACCGTGAGTGATGGTCGGAGCTAAAGTCACAAAGAGGGGCCAGGACGAGTTTATGCATTCTAGTTCAGTACCATTTTTCAGAAAATTTTCAGTCAGGAAGCTCAGGTTAGACTATTGCAATTTTCTGACTATTAACTGCTAAATGCAACTTACTTGTCTGAAATCTGCAGTGTGTAACGGTCCAGTATGCCTTTCACCACAGGGTTTAAAAGTTTGCTTCGTTGATCTTCAGCAGTGCAAGACCTGGGGCTGAATCCTCAGCGTTGCACTGAAGAACGAGATGGTTTGTGCTCCAGGACTCAGCTAACAAAGCTGGATGAGAAAGACTTGCATTTACTAACTGGGCGTAACTCTAATGCAGAACGAAGAGATGTTGCACTGTAACGCTGCCTTCGTCTGTGACTGACTGCTGAATACTTGTTTACAAATTATTGCAAGATACTGTTTACACAAGATTGTTTTAACCTATAACATTTTGATATTCTTGGGAAGTGCAGATGGTATATTTACTTAATCACTGTCAAAGCCCTAACTTTTTATTTGAAGCTGTTTCTGAAGTCAGTGTTACTTCTGCTCAGATCTCAGTGTTTTCACATGTATTACGCTTGTCCTTGTTTCAACTCCCTCTTTCAGTCATTTTTAATTCTCTGCAGTGTTCAGTTTTCAGAGTGAGATTTTTGCTTAAAAGTGATGGAATGCATAAGCCAACTGTAGGAGCAGTATGATATTTAAAAAACCCCAAAACCTTACTGCACACTTTTCCCAGTACATAAAATACCTTATTCCGACTTTTGAACCTTTCTGCAGTTCCTCAGCTGGACCATAAGGTTAATTTTCCTTGGGACATGTTGTGGCCTGTTGTTTTAGCCCGGCTAAACTTGTTACATTGATATACCCTGAACACATGTCAACTGCAGAACTGTTCCTTAAGGCAAAATTATTTCCACTTGTACAAAGCTTTAACACTAGAGGGATGAGTAAGGGACTTTGGGAAATATCAGCAAGCCCCAATCCACCTTCAGGCTCTGGATCTGCTCTACTATATTCTTAAAATACAGCTCCATGTCATCTTTCCCCTACACTCTCCTGGTATTTGTTATTGTAATCAGGTAAGTTGATAGTGCCCTGTTTGTGCCAGTTGCACATGTCACCAGAGTCTCTACAAGTAACAGCTTGTGGAGGAAACGCACAGTTGGCTTTATACGTCTGCTACCTGGACACGAAGGCTGTGCAGCACCCACATGAGTTGTAAGAGGCCTGAGGGGCAGCTGCACCTTCCTTCTGTGCTCTTGGGGTATTCCTCCTTCAGGCTCCGTAGCTGAGAAATGACCGGGTACATGAATAATGCAGTTTCCAACCCAAAGTACTAGTACCCTTGCAGGGTGAAGGGAACTTGGGTTGTTTCCATAGCTCAGATGCTTCCATGAAGTCCTAGGCTATTGAATCTCTCAGCATTTTGAGAAAGAGAAGGAATTGTGCCTTCTACTAAAAAAAAAAAAAAAAAAAAATAGGATTTTATTTGGGTTTTTTGTGATCCCTTTTGATGGGGATTCCACTTACTAGGTGGAATGGACTGAGCAATCTATGAGGAAATTATTTCACTCTCAATATTAAATTATTTAAATATGCACAGAACATGGAATGAAACGAATAGAATAAATAAAAATTATTTGAGACCACTACATAGGGACTTATAAATTACTGCTTTATCTGCTCCAGAATACTGGGATGGAATTTTAAAGCATCAAATTTGTGTATAAAGGAAATGTTATGTAAGATAATGAAGTTCTTTGATGCAAAACTTAATAGTTTTACCTTACTATCCCTACTGGTAGTGAATACTTGATAATTCCTAATGATACTCTCTTCATACCTTGGCAGCAATCTGTTCGTTCCACATCTGAAAACAGTTCGGTAATGTAATTTCTCTATAAAATGCTGCTACTAACCATATCTAAACTAATTAGGCACAGTCAGAAACAGCCTAAAAATGTAGCAGGCTCGCTGAATGAGCAGATTTGGAATTTGGCACTGTTCCTACTACATGACTTGATTGGGATGCTATTACCGATGCTTTCCTTTCTGGGCCATGAGAGACAGATTTCTGTGTCTCTTCTGATCTTTTCTGCCCTAGGGCTGTCCTGTGGGCAGAGGGGAACAGCCTCTGTCTAACCATCTTGCTGGGACTCTTTTGCCTCTTCATCACAGCTTGGGGAGCTGGTATGCGTGGCAGGGAGAGCTGCAAGGGCACAACGTGTGCTGACCAGTCCTGGTTACGAGATGTTTTTAGTGACCACTAACAGCAGTGCAAGTGAGAGCTTCCTCTGGGCTTTTCTTACGGTGTTGGATGTGGAACAGAGGCACAGCTTGCTGACAACATCTCCAGTCGGGGCCATCCTAAGGCATGTCCCATGTACTTTTTATTTCTAGCTTGATTTTTGTTTAGTTCAACAAAAGCTCTTAAACCGTCAGCTCCCATGTTTTCTATTTAGAATTATTATCCAAATTTTAGCAAATTTGGCCAATTTACCACATAACCTGGATACACAGAGCATGATCCCAAAGAGTTAAATCCCCCAGCTAAAGGAAATACTAAATGAATACTAGGCAATTAGTATCATGGGATTAAATAAGAGAATGCTGGAAAATAAGTCCCTGCATAAAGTGACTGTAGAAACAGGCCATGAAATAACCAGTCAGTACAGCAGAAACTGAAAAAAAAAAAAAAAAAGTAATTTTAATTTTTATAAGCTTTGCACCTATTGGCTTTTGTGGCTTCTGCATAATCACGCTGTGTAGGTAGCAGTGAGTTTTCCCATGGTTTTAACAACAAGATACAACTCTGAAATAAATCACAGTATGCAAATCTTCCATTTGTCTTTAAATCATATTTTGTCGTTATTTGGTTAATTTCCCCTTAAATCCAAATTGTACTTCTCTGCTATATCTGAAATGCAAAAAAAAAGAGTATTCATTTTGTCATTCTCAAAAACAGCCAACTGTTGTCCTGTGTTCACAAGTTTTACCGGGGATATGTTGACAGGCCATCAGTTGCAGTGACTGCTGCATAAGCGTGTTATGTAGCTCCTGCTATATGCAGGTATATGCATATGCCTGCACTTACAGGGTGGCAGTCCATGTTTTACAGGGTTTCAGGGGACTGATAACGTGTCGTTTTGATTTGAAATGCTCAAGAAGTACTCCTTGACATTAACCGCAACAAAAGATCTCATAAGCTAACACGTTCTTATAGCCAGGACTCTAAATTTGATTACACAGGTGTGCACTGTTTTATCACACATGCAAATGCCGTGACAAAGGCACAGAAGGTCCTCTCTCTCTAGAAGAGGACACAACAGAAGAGCAGCATAGCCCAGCTCTTCTAAGAGTAAAACCCAGGGTCCTTTCAAATCACCACGCATTCAGACATCAAGGCCAGTGCAACAAGAAGCACGCACAAGGAAAAGACTGGTGAATCTATCTATTCAAATATCCCCAGGTGCAGAAAGGGCAGTGTGTTGGGAAGGTGATGAGAAACTTGCAGACATGCCGTAAGTACCCACAAGCAAAGCCACGCACTTCTTTTCCAAGGAGCAGCTAATTCTGAGTTAGGGACATAGGGATGTGAATGCGTTTCAGCCAAGGCTACTGTAAACTGTTCTGCTCTGCAATAGCAGGGTGGTACCTGGAACAATCATGCAGTGGATGCCGCTTACTAGAGGCCAGATGTTCCTATGGCTGGGACACTGGAAAGAAAACAGAATGCCTCTGAGAAGGAATAAAGCACTTTTCAGATGGTAACAAACCTAAGAAGTCTAACACTGGGATTTCTCCTAGCTTGCTGACATCTTTCTCTTTGCACACTTTCAGTATGCCTCTCCAGGAATGTTGGTTCTTCTTTCTTACCTTATTTTCTATTATTTCCCAGCTAAGGACAGGTGCAGAACAAATTATTATCTGAGGATGACTGGATGCTGATATCTAAAAGCAAGAGATAATAGTAAGTTTTTTTCTATTGAGTTTTACTGGTTGTGCAGAGAAACCACCACATGACAAACCCAGTCTCGGGTCTTCCAGACCTGAGGTTAATGCACCATTTGAGCTGCTTGTAAGTCTGATTTGAATTGTGTCTGCAAAACTGTAGGTAAATATGTGAGAACACTTTTAGTGTCAAACCTACACTATTTATTTAATGATATTTGACCATTTTTTCTTAATTTGGCTTAATCCGAAGATAATTTATAGTTTCTCCAAACTCTTTCTTATTAAACAACAGATACCGTGTTGAAAAAAAATCTATGTAGTACAATCTTAGACCAAACACAAACCAGTGCAAAGTCACTGAATCACGAAATAACGTTGCTGTGATTTGTTACTGGGAGGACTCAGTTCTGCAGTGGTCCTATGCAGAGCCACGAAAGGAGTTATGTGAGAGGATCCCGGGGCTCAGCGTCTTTTTGGTTGCTGCCTCACCAATACTGTGGGTGAGCTGGAAGCAAAGCCTCAGCCTACCACAGTACGATACGTGCACCTGTGGTATTTATGCTTCTAGATCCAAAGTATAATCTCGTATTCAGTGAGACTTTCCAGTGGTTTCTTGAGGGTCTCACTGATGCAGACTTGCTGAGGCCTCACACACATTTCCATGCAATGAATGCTGCAGGAACATTCCTCCTGGTCAGTGTTCAGGCTGGCTGGGGTCTTTCCAACAGCTGTAAGTTTGAGGAGATTTAACTGCTCTTACTATTGTCTTATACTGCTCAATCTAGTATTCACAGACAATAAGGAGGACTTTTCCATAGCTTTCTCTGGGAACTGGATCAAAGCACAAAGGATGCATGTAGCTACTTGTCTGGGCTTTTCAATAAAGAACCTATAGTCAATGCAATAATTGAGCTAGCGATGGGCCAATGTTTAGATTTACCAGCCCTGACAAGTTGTTTGCATCTTTAATTTGTTCAATCTGTTATTTCCTTTTCAGTAGCTAAACATCTCCATGTAGAAGTAGTCAGAAAATCCAAGTGTGTTCCAGGCACTGAATAATTCTAAATATTTAATTTTTCTGTTGTAGGTTTGGTTGTAGCCAAAGAATATAAAATAGATAGGTGCAGCTCCACATGGAGGATAATTTTTCTGCCTAAAATGTTTTCCCCACCTTTCTGTGAATTATACCACCGGTGTAAGGGGCCAGCATGACAGTGGAGGGGACCACAGTATATTATTGACATGAGATACAGATATGGATGCAAAGTGAAGCAAAACTACTGCATTCCTAATCCACTTCTCTTATCTCAGATCACTGGCCTTCAAGGCAAGTCTATCAGTCAGACCATCAGGCACTAACAGCTGTAATTTGGTGCCCACCGGAAAGCAAAAAAGACCACCAGAATGTTTTTGGACAGGCTAGCAAACCCCTGTTGGAAAATTGCAACTGCCAATCCTGCCTAGCTGTGGCAGATGACCACAGATAGGCCGTCTCTATTTTTTTTATGCTGCTTTTGCAGCTATTGAACTTTTGTCATTTGGGCTGTTTACTTTGTTCTCAGAAACCTGGTTGTGCTTAAACATGGAAATGTTATTTGCCATACAGTTCTGATGGATGTGTGTAAGGTAACAGCAAGGAATGCTATTGGTATAAATTGACATATAATCTTTGACTTCAGTGGAGTTACTATCTATCATCTGGCCCAATTTTTGTAATTGTAACACAATTTTGCAAATTACCTCATTTTAATGGTGGTTGTGCCTGATTTCATAGGCCGTCAAAAGGAATACCTTCACAGAGTTCCACAGATGTTGTTTTCAGCCTATGCACAGAAGTGAAAATCTGTAAAATTCATAAAACAACCACACTTACGCTCTTTTGCCCTACTAGAGAAGATGATGCCTTGGGGTGTTCGAGCTCCTGCATGGCATGGGTAGCTGACTTGGTAGAAGCTGCGGAACTAGTTGCACCACGAATCCTTGATGGCATCGTTACAAGTTTGGAGCCGAACCTCCTCAAGATGTCCTGATATTTCAACCATCCACCAGCGCTGACATCCACTGCGCTCCAAGATTTTCAAATTAATGAAGAAGCAAAAGATTACTTTTGTAAATGCTAGTTTTAAAAAACAAACCAGAATTCCCTTAAGTACTAAGGAAATGACAAAATGTGTCAAAAATAAAGGGAAAGGATGACTTGGAATAGAAGGATTCCTAGGGCCCATCTTATTAAAAAAGAAAACCACGGCTTCTCTGCAGAAGCCTGCACAAGGTTGGCAGAACAATGAAAGAAGGATTTCTGCAGGACATTTTCTAATTGAATGGGGCCCTTAGTGTGCTGTTTAAACTACTAAAACCTATGATTAGACACAGTGATTGAGCTGCAGTATAGAAGAATAACGCTTTAACGTGAGATGTAAATCAAACACATGGTGCACCTGTATCCTGGCTAAGTACCATTGAGGTGAATTTCTCATGCTATCAGGTGCACCTAAGTTATACCACCATTGCAGGACGTGGTATAACTTATATTAAGGCCATGTATTTGCATCAACAAATTATTTCACCCTGAGGGCAAAAATGAATGAGCACAAAAGAACACTGCAGGAAATCTTTGCAGCCTTTAGAATCTCACGTAGTTACGATGTATGGCCAGGAACCGTAACTCTACAATACAGCCAGCTTACAGAAGACCCGGATGCAGCTGCTGATACCCTTGGCTTCTGCTGCCTGTGGAGGTCCATGCGGCTGCTTGGCCCGACACAAGACAGGTAGTCCACCCTCTGGGCT